GCCCGGGGTCTCTCTGTGCCCAGCTGGTGGCAGCGAGGAGCAGGGGCACCGCAGGGCTGCGTGTGTCGGGGTGTGCGGGGGCCGGGCACCTGCCTGGGGCAGGCGCAGGTGACACTGCCGTGTCGCCAGCAGGGAACACCGGACTGCTGCGGTGCCAGCTCGCTGTGAGCTCAGCCGGCCTCAGCGCTGGGTGCGAGAGGGAGGCGTGCGGGGACACAGACAAGAGATACTGGGAGCTCCTGGAGTGGGTAACTTAACCAAGGGTCTGGAGAATCTCTCTTACCAGGAATACCTGAGGGAACCGGGTCTGTTCAGCCTCGAGAAGGGGTGACTGAGACCCTCTCACCTCATCCATGTGATTACGTACCTAAAGGATGTGTGTGAAGAAGATGGACCAGCCTCTTCTCCGTGATGCCAAGTAATAGGGCATGAGACAATGAGCAGAAACTGATGCACAGGAAGTTCCACCTGAATACGAAGAACTTACTTACTGCCGAGGTGATCGAGCACTGGAGCAGATCGCCCAGAGAGGTGGTGGAGTCTCCCTCACTCGAGAGGGGGCAGGGAGGTTNGGCGGGCGCGGAGCCCTCACCCGGCTTGGAGGTGGGGGGGCGCCGGTGTGAGGCTTCTTGAGCGGACCGAGGGAAAAAGGGTTCTCCTGCATGGGGGGAAAAGTTTAAAAATGGGATCTGCTGCTCTAAGGTGAGCTAGCGTGGCCTGGAAATACACGAAAATAGGAGTGTGGATATGTATGAAAGCAGACGTTTTTCAGAGAAAGCGCGAAGGGCTGCTTCGGATTTGTTACCCTTCAGGGTGCGGGGAGCCTTTAGCGGACGGGAATGTGTTCTGCGAGCTGTGACACGGCGGCTACGAGCCCGCGGTCCGTCTGTCGCCCCACCCTGCCGCCCCTATCCCGCATCTGTGGGCAGGTGTTTTATAAGAGGACGCAGGAAATCCGAGGATAAAACGTGGTGTCATTCGGGCTCTCGGAGACTCTGGCAAGCCTTTAAGCTGCAGTGGTGAATGCTGGCGTGTGAGACTCCCTTTTGCACTTACTGTTTCAGCTATGGATGTTCTTGCTGTGTTTGTGTCCACCTCCTTTCTGAAGCGTATTAAAACATCTCACTATAAATGTGAGCATTGCATTCTGCAGCTGAGGTGTGTTTTTCCAAAGTTATCGTAAATGCTGTGTGAATTTCATCGTTGTGCCAAGACACGTCCTGACTTTTTTCTGCTACTTGACGTTCCCTAAATAATACCATTTGACTTTTTTCCCAGTTTGGCCTCGTGAGAGATGATACCTTGCCTTTAATCATCTTCTCTGTCCTCTCAGCTCTGCTAAATTACATAGTGTCCTTTCTGAGGTGGTGGATGTGCAGGATGTCACTGATTCACCTCCTTTAGTACTGTTTCAACACACCCTTTCCTTCATTACAGCTGCATATTGATCAGCGCCTTTCACAGAGCCACCCAGAATGTTTCTAGGACTTTCCTGTAATTAAAAGAGCTCTGTGGGATGCAGGAGTTTTATTTCTCCTTTCTGCCTGCATTACTTTGCATTATTCAGGAGTGGACTCGATGTGCTGTTATATTAGCCTTTCACTTAGCTTGATTAAATCTTCTTGAAGTCCTTTGCAGACTTCTCTGAATTTGACTAAACAAAATCACTGTCTGCAAACAAGTCTCACTGCTTACATGCAGGTCTAGGCGTATGATGAATATATAATCCAAAGATTAGCATGAGAATATGCAAAAATGTGTTTTAGATTTGCTGGCTGACTCTGAAACAAAGCAGACAGTTTGGTTAGCTAGCAATAAACTCTCAATTAAACTTCCCAATTTGCTGTGGTTCTTTCAGACAGCCATAATTCTAAATGTAGAATAGTAATGAGGAAAAAAATGTCTAATTTGATAAAAGTCGCTTAAGTCTTACGGGTTTTTTTCTATTCACATCTAATCAACATGCTTAATTTCAAATTTATTTGAATGACAGAAGGAAAACCTTCCAAACTTTCTCTTTCTCCAGCTGGTTTGGTTTTCTTACAGACCTTCAAATAAATATAATAATATTTATAATATTTACCAAATACAGTAAGTGGAAATGTGTCAAACTGAACTACAGCCTTTAATTAAAACCTCTCAAGTTGCTTAAGGTCAGTTGAACTCTGAAGCAAGCCTCATCCCTCTTGAAATCACAGGATCACAGAATGGTTTGGGTTAGGAGGGACCTTAAAGGTCACCTAGTTCCAACTCCCTGACATGGGCAGGGGCACCTTTCTTTCAGTAGACCAGGCGGCTCAAAGTCCTATCCAGCCTGGCCTTTAACACCTCCAAGGACCGAGAGTCCACAGCCTCGCTGGGCAGCTTGTTGCAGCCCTCACCCTCCTCATAGTAAAGAATTTCTTCCCAATACCTAATCTAAGTCTACCTTCTTTCAGTTTAAAGCTACTGTAAAATTCTCCAGTTCGAACAGCCTTTCGTTTCCTCCCTTTCTTTCTACTGTGAGAGCTTATTTTCCAACAGCAATGGGGTATTTTTCTACCTCCCTGATAAGTGTTTGCAGAGGAGCTTTCTTCTGTATAGAAAGTGAGCAGGGAAGGGGAATTAATTTGGCTGCCAGGGAGCAAGTGCTCGAGGCAGAGGTGGCAAGGGGGGCAGGTGGCACTTTTGCCTTGGACCTTCACATATTGCTGTGACTGCCAAGATATCTCAGGAGCAGCTGGAAGTGAGACCAGAGGCTCTGTTTATGAGTGTTTACTGTGTTCTGCTGGTTGTGTTAAGTGAAAACACAGTTTTAGGTGTGATGACACATGAGGTAAGTCAGATTCTTGCTGGATATTTTTTATCTTCATTTTTTTATGCTTTTCATCTTGTTCTTTGGATCAACAGTATTCCCCCATCATTCATTTCAGTGTTCACATGACTGCTTACCTGGGAGTGGACACTCAGCTGAAGGAGCTGAGGATGCCAGGGTGAAACTTCGTTTTGTCTCCCTCCAGTGTGCCTGATTAGCTCCATTTCAGGAAAAAGCTATTCCATCCTCAGATGTTTCTTATTTCCTTTGAAAACTTATCTGAACCTCCAGCACATGGACTTTAATAGTGGGCTGCTTAAGTCAGTCAGTAGTTTAAAGGACAGAGTTATTGCAGCTGTCCTAAGAAAGCGAGTGTCAAGTTTCTCATCTGGAAACAAAAGCACAGCCTGGTCCACCTGTTTCTCAGGGGAATGCTCTGCTCATGTAAATGGTATGTAGTAAAGAAAGGCATTTCTCAGCTAATTGCTCACAAACAGGGAAAATCAGAAGTAAGGAATGTTTTTCTGTGCTAGGTGATAGATGAAATATTTAGTTGATGTTCAAAGCAACAAATACACTCCAAGTAAAAATCTGATTGGATGTTTTCATCAGAGGAAAAAAGACTATACTGCTGCATCAAAATAATTGATAACTGGGCACAAATATGAGTATTTTGTGTTCTTTTTTCTTTGTGTTCTTTTATTCTTTGGTTGGTTGTTGTTTTTGAGACTTGTATTGTGTTTCCACCCCTTCCCATATCAGTCACCTCTGTTAGAGGTTTAAATCTTCCAACCTTTTATTTGGGTCCCCCAAATAAGGAAAGAAAAAATTTACAGAAACCTTTGAAGTTAAGAAACCATGCATTTTAGGAAAGAAGTTATGAGAACTGACTGCATGGTGTGATCCTGACACATTATTTTCCTGAAGTTGGTATGACTGGTTTTCATTTTTTTTGGTTGTTTTTTTTCTCCCGCTAGAGGACTGTTCTGAAATGACCCTGTCCCATTGTTGTGTGGCACTCTATACTACAGTTTAAGAAATAGTAAAAATAATTCTGAAGAAGCAATTAAAATAGTTCTTAAGATTTGGTTATATTGCCTTTAGTAAATTAATGTCAATCAAAGCTCTGATTGATTTCTTTTTTTGCGGTATGCAACATTAATTCTGACAATTTGGCTTTTAGGTCCTACCTCACATACCAAGCTGGCCTTTGAAAGCAGTGATATTTTAGGCACTCTCTTGAAAACTGTACCAATTCAAGATACATCTCTGCAATGCAGGTTTTCCACATTCTTCTTAGGACTCAGCAAAGCCTGTGGAAATCATGGACTGGACTGATTTATCTACTGAAGGCAGAACTTAAGCTTTTACGTCAGTACAATGACATACAGAATCTGATTTAAAAACGCTATCAAAATTGAAATTCTGCACTTCAAAATTTTAATTTACAACTTTCCAGTGACCACAATGCATTTCTTAAATTGTGAAAATACTACTTTTTTTTTAAAAAAAAAAGGTATGGCAAGGCATTTTGGAACTATTGCTAGACTTCCTAAATTATAAAGTAGAGACATCTGAAGTATGAAATGACGCCACCTGCCTCATCGCTCTTACTAACCAGACCAAAATAATAATTAAAAGTATTTGCTTTTGGCATGAATTTGCATTGCATTAACTTTTCCCACTCCTCCTCAGAACAAACATTAAAGGCAAAGCCTGAAGTCTGTGCTTTCACTGACTAAATTAGGCTAAATATTTTGTAAAACAGAGTAATTTTGTGAGCAGGCTGCATGTGAAGAGTGACTATATCCTCAAATGCTCCTGTTCTGCTTTCACCCTCTTTTCTCTTACTGCTGTTTTCCTGAAGTTACCAGCCTTCAGCCAGCCTGTGAGGAAGGAGCAGCAGCTCAGTTCCTGTCTCAGGAGATGCGCCCTCATCAGCAGAGATAGCAATGAGCCACTGCTGTCTCAGGGCATCGCCCAGAAATGTTCAAAAGTGTGAAGCACCTAAGAGACTTAGCAATGTTTTGGCTTGTTTCCCCTTTTCTGGCCAGGTTTCATAAACATTTCACGGTAGATGGATGGATTCTTGTGATGCAGCTAGACCTCCCGAGCTGTGCACTGCAAGCATCTCAGACCATCAGCCAGCTTCATGTGATGCTCTTGCTTTTCTGTGTGGCCTGTGAACACAGAATTGATGGTTTTGGTGCAACTCTTGCAGCCAGTTCCAGCTTGGAAAGTCCTCTGCAAGTCCTTACCCTCAAGTCTCAGAGAAAAGCAAAGGGAGCGGGGTATTTCCCTCTTTTGTATCATGTCTTCAAATTGTTTCATTAGAGTTCTCCAGTGGTCTTTTCCATATTACTCAGCTGAATGCAAAAGCCCCTTCTTTAAAACTGTGGTGGGGAATAAGATCAGAATTATGAAGCTGGACTCAGATTTCTCATGCAGCATTTTCACGTTGTCCACAGTGAGCTCAGCCTGTACTTCATGCCATGAGGAGGGCAGGCTGTGAGCACAGAATCACACACCTTACCAAGGCCCAAGTTACAGGGACAGCAGTTTCGAATGGACTTTTCTCGTTGGCCTCACTGCATTACATGTGAGTTTCAGCACAGTAACAGGACTGGAGTAGGGATCTGGTTTCAGGACGGGCCAAGTTTCATGCTTCCTTGCAAGCCCAGAAATTGGAGCTGCTCCCACATAAGCTTCCTCCCTGTGTGAATCACAGTGAGCATTGTTCCATGGAAAGCACCAGTGACAGTGGGGACAGGCAGTCCAGCATCTTCTCCCAGTGACCAAGGCACACCACTTGTGTTGGGGAAATCCTTTTCATGTTAATAAAAGGGTGTGAGCTTTGTCCCACTCACAGGGTTTTCTCCTTTGCTAAAGGGATAGTTTGGCACATTGCAGTTTTCTGGAGTGTTTGTTGCTTTGCAGGTGGATCATATGGGTTTTGCTGGCCTGGAGGTGGCACAGGGAGCCCCTTGCTGCCTCCATCTCTGCAGCTGCCACCCAAGTGCCCTGATGGGAACTCAGTCCCTTTCTCTCCTAGTTCCTAGTTAGGCAGCTGGTAATAATTGCCAGTTGGCTACAGGACTTCACTATTGGGCTGTAGTACCATCAGGTTTTGCATATCCAGATTAACCACGGAGTAGGATAGAACAGGACTGTCCGTGAAATAAAAGATTTTGTTTATTTGTTTTTAAATTATACTGAGTCTTGAAAACTGAAGTTAAGATAAAGTCATGAAATCAGAGAGTCTGTTTCACTGATAACTAAGAACTGACTATGCTTACTTTAAGTTGAAGTTTAAAACAGTTGTTTGCAGCTATATAGGTGAACAGCTATTTTATTATTTAAACATTTTGTTTGATTCAACCTCTACAGGGTAGAGGCTTTCCGTGATGCAGCATCTGCTATGGAGCAAGAGAAGGAAATTCTGCTTGAAATGATCCACAACATACAGAACAGCCAGGATATGAGGCACATCAGTGAAGGTGAGAAGCTGCTTTCTTGTACCCTCCAGCTGACCCAAAGTCTAATCAGCCCATCTGTTCTGGAGCAGCTCTGTGTGAGCAGCTGTCTTTGCTGCTGGTAAAGGTGTAACATTGGAGCCAGCTGAGGTTGTTGAAGTGACACCCATTATCCTGAGATCTCTTCTTGAGTGTAAATTCATGCTGTTTAGGTGGATTGACTACCATGAATGTCACAAATGTGTATGTGAAAGCCTATACTCAGTTCACTGATTTTCAAAATCAAGATTAACATCGTTCTGCTGGGGGAGACACGTTGATGATGATGATGATAATATAGTTGAAAATTATTTTGACTATTGGATAGGCATGAGTGTTACAAAGTGACAAGCCTGCAAGAACCTGATGATTAAGATCATTGTTGTAGTTGTGTGATTCACAGCTTTAAATATATTCCCTAAACCTGATCATTAGGTGCTTTAAGTTGCTGGTTTATTGGCTCTACGTATCAAGTGTGTTGTGTTCAAGTGTGTTTTGAAAAGCAGCTATAGTTTCAGGAAATAGAAAACCAGTTTTTTCATGGCCTCTCATATCTAGTTTTCTCTTTATGGCCTTCTGGGGTACTGTCTAAATCTCTCCCTCAGAATGGCATGGAAGTCCTTAATGAGCCAGTTATATTACTGAATGTTTCCTGGAAATACTGTCTATTTTGCTTTAAAGTGACACAGCAAGCATTGTGTCAGCAGTGGAAAAACATTGCTTACAATTTTAGTAGAGTTTAATGCCTCATTTCGAATCAGACACTGGCTTCTATGAAATGAATGTGACTTGGGAAAAATGCAAAAAGCTCATTTCTGGCTTCTGGAAATCTTGCTGATTGTCACTTACGTAAATAAAATGTTGTTTACTGCTAAGTTATAGCAATTTGAGTGTCTTGATGATGCTATTTGCACAGGGAAGTATTTGCCTGTAACTGAGAATATTTTCTTGTTTCTGATTGAGGGGAGAGAGAAGAACTTAATTTGACTGCTAATCGCCTGATGGGCCGAACCCTCACTGTGGAGGTTTCCGTAGAAACCATCCGCAACGCGCAGCAGCAGGAATCCCTACTGCACGCCACCAAGATGATTGATGAGATTGTCAGTAAACTCCTCGATGATTTGGAAGATGCCAAAATGCGCTTAATGTCACTCTACGGTGCGTGCACGTCTGACGTGCCAGCAGGACCCATCGATCAGAAATTCCAGTCTGTGGTCATCGGATGTGCCATTGAGGATCAGAAGAAAATCAAAAGGCGCCTAGAGACACTGCTCAGAAACTTGGAAAATTCTGAAAAGTCCATCACATTGCTGGAGCATCAGAAATCATCTGTTCGGCAGTCTTGCAACAGCAAACAGGATTAACATATCCTCCCGGCTACTTCTGGCAAACCACAGGATGAGCAAGTGCCCATAAAAAGCACACAGAAGCCAAGAAAAAAATTCTCTGTACGAGCACACACATATATACACATCCACATGCACCAACTTTGACTGCAAGGTGCAAGCATTTAATGGGTTTTGGTAGCATTGGCATTTTCTTTTGGCAATCAGGAATGCTATCAGTTCTTCTGTAGAGTTGATACTGCTCTATTGCAAATTGTAATTGTGCTTCTGCTGATCTGACAGAAACTGAAAATCTAGCCTTTCCTCCATTCTCCTGGGTTTTTGAAAACTAAAGTTGTTTTGTCCTATCATGAGATTTCAGCTTTTCTCTGTTGTGTAAGTAGTGTGTGAGCCAGACTTCTGGGGACAAAAGACAATTATGGCAATAAATCAAAACAAATTAATAAACCGTTTATGGTATTTTCATAAACAACATAGTGTCCTACTCATTACCATTTATAATTTTGTACTTTTTGAATATTTTGAACAAACTGATCACAATACTTTCTAGATATAGATAGCTACCTCCAGTTTGTAACTGTGGAAGTGAAAAGCAACTCATGTACCCCAGGGATCACCAGCTAGGCCAGAAATGACCTGACTCAAAATTCCCCCTCCATGCGTGGTGAACCATTCTGCTCCCACAAGCACATTGTAGCTTTGAGATTGCTGTATGTTACTTTTTAAAAGATAATAGAAAGTGGAACTGTACATCAGCTACTCCTCCATTTTTGCATCATCTATGAAGCCACAGAGCAAAACATTTTGACTTCTCACCAAACACCGTATTTGTGTCTTGTGTAGGATGGTACTTTGTACAGCCAGCATTACTTGCCTCTTTGTGTGAGTGGTTTTTGGTTTTTTATCTTCCACCCTCTCACAGTAACTGCTGCACATCATCACTGAGCTCTGTGGCTGTGGGTCAAAAATTGCAGATTTTAGGGTGTGTCTGGAATTTTGTAAGCCCCTGTAGCCTGGCCAGTCCTGCAGTACTCCACCCACGGGTGGCAGTGCCCTGAGGGGAGCAGAGGGCTCTGTGGCTCAGCCACCAGCATGCTGAACTCGGCTCAGGTTAGCACTCAGCTGAAGGGAGCCCAAAGGGTGAGTGATGCCACCAAGCACAGCTGCCTAGGGTGTTACAGTTGGAGTGTCACACCTGGATGCTTTGAGGGCACCAGCCCAGGTGAGAGCCCTGCATGTCAGGCTCCTGCACAACCAACAGCCAGGAGTGCCATGGTTTTAAATGCCTTGGATGGGCCCACAAGCTTCGCAGGAAATCTCCAGAGCTGTGTGCGCTTCTTGGAAACCTCAGCTGCTGTGAGGTCACTGTCACTGCATTTAAATTGCAGAAACAGCACTTCAGGTGGGTGCTTCAAATGCAGACCAAATTTCAGCTTTGAGATTGTGAGAAGTTCTAAGAGTTAGTGACATTAATTCTGTAATTCCTTTTTAAAAAAATTTCCAGCTATTCAACGGTATTAAAACCCTTTGCAGTAATACACAGCCTGGGTTGTTTTCAGAACTCGTGCTGTGCAACACTTAAGTTGAACACAGCTTCCTGTTGCTTGTTGCTTAGAATATTCCTTCAATATTTGGGTTTTTAAGGCCATTATAAGGTTATTCAGGCAAAAGTTTTTTTTGTTTTCTTTCTCAGATATTCTTCATTGTACTGATACCTGAAAAAATTTTTATTTCTTACAGCTATCACACAATTGCAGAATATGTGGGTTAGAAGGGACCAGTGAAGGTCATCTAGTCCACTGCCTCTGTAATGAGCCTAAAGCATTGCCAATTAATCCTTATCAGGGTGTTAAGCAAACACACTGATTTTCTGTGTTCAAAACTCTCTGCAAGAGGGAGCAGGAGTATGTTACTTCCAATATTCTTCAGATACCTGGGCAAAGAAGCAGACGGCTGATTTGTGTTTTACTGAAAAAAAGAAAAAATACCAAAACAAAGCAAAACCCCTAACCAACAATCACTAGTGAGTGATTATTACCTGTTTATTTTCATAAATATAAAATGTACTAGGCATCTTTGACATATTAGTAATACTTTAATGCCACTTCCAATGTCTACAATCTTTGACTTAAACCTTGTCACTATATTGGCCAAACCAGTCATGAAAAGCAAAATGACCAGAAAGAGCAGAAAATAATCCCTATTTTGTTTTTCAACCACATGATAAATCAGAGGCAAGAGCTAAGAAACACCGTTTCTATTTGACTGGGGTGTCCACACTTGTTCCTTTGAGTGCTCTCATGAGCTGCCTTGGATCCCAGCTGTTGGCAACACACACAAGAATCAAGCACACGTTTCTCAGTCAGACTGAGGTTGCACAGCTTGTAGTTACAGCAATTTTTGAAATTTAATATACTCACAATTTAATATAACCACAAAAGTAGTGACTTATATCAGACTCAACAACAAGCAAACAAACATTTTAAGTTGCATGATGCAACTAGCGTCACTTACAAGAGAACAGCAGAATTAATTTGTAGGGATTTTACAGAACAGCATACACAAGATACTCAGTTTTAAACACTGATTCTTCTGATCAAAGATTTATGGTATGATGACCTTTTTTTCTACAAATCTGTTACATTTACTTGAGAGCATGATGGTGATAAAATCAGTTATGTACATTTCCTCTTTTAGCCATTTGCATTTAAGCCATTGGTATCAATGTATCTTAATCCTCACAATGAGAGTGGTATTCCTCCTGGTCCACAGTAATTTTTAGTTTTCCTTATCAACTTAAGTGAGTTTGGCAGAACTGACAAACTATTTATCTGTATTACCCTTCTAGAAACCTGAGAATGAGCCTAGTTCAGTACTAGGACTCACCTGGCTTTGAGATAACTCATACAGAACACTGCAACATGGAACAGTTGCAGGTTTCTCTTATTCCATTATAGCACCTTTCATTTTAAATCTAAGCATTGCTGTGTTTTTCATTGTATAATTTTCATTACCTGCTTGGATGCCATAATTAACAGAGTTATTTTTTTGTCTCAATATTATTTGTGCATTAGAAAGTATCTGCACAGCTTTTGCTTCCTACAAAAAGATGGCAAGGTAGTTTTGATAAATTCAAGCCTGCTGGACCATTCTTGCACTCTGATTTTGGTACAGTTAGGGTTCAGGTTCTGCACCTTCAACTGAAGGTCTATGACTACATTTAGAAGAGCAGCAGGGGCTCAGGTAGTGTCACTGGAATGAGAGCAGCATATGTGTTGGCTCACTGTACGATGAACTCCCACCAAGGAGAAGGGCAGATCACTGACCCTGTTAACACCTGAGCTCTCAGCCTGAAGGGTGCATGGACAGCTTCGAGTGCAGGCTTGCTGAGTCTTGTGCATGTACCCCACATAACCCCTCAGAGTGCTGCGTGGTCAGCTGCTCAATGTTCTTCAGATTATCCCACCTCCACAAAAATTCTGTGAAGGAAAACCTCATGACAGATGTGCTGCAGCCCAATAATGAAGAAAATAAGAAGTTGTATTTTACTGAAGCATAAAAATTAAACAGGAAATGAGACTGACTGTGATAATTCAGGCACTTTGACTATAAAAGTCTGGCCTTAAGAAACACCGAAAATAATACTTCAAAATTGTCTTAAGTGGAATATTTAATTTTCTTTTTAATTAACCACACACACAAGCACAAAAATTAAGTGTGATCAGTCATACAACTTTGAGATTTTCTATTTCCAGTTGGAAATACATCCCTAGCATTACTGCTTTGCATCTAACGATGCCCCACGTACTGGGAGAACACCCATTCACTGAATGGATATAACACAGAAGTGACAAAGCTGTAGTGTCATACTCTTTAGTGAATCCCTATTTCACTAAGGCATTAACAATCACTAAAGTTTCCTGCTAATGGTAGCTTTATCAGCCAAGGGCAAAGAATTGTGGCAAAATCAAGATAATACAGCCAGTAAGCTATTCAAGAGATACAAAAAGAATATACAGGAGTGAAATGAATTTTGTGTCTTGTGGGACCAGCATCTCTTGCTCTTAATCCAGGGTATCATGGGTGTAACAGAGCTACATCCTCACCCACCATGCAGTCCCAGGGTTGCAAAGAGAAGAGCATTTTTATTACCAGCCCCACACCTGTAGGTTTTCCTGACTAAAACATACTATATTTTAATGAGTACACTTGGAGTGGAGAATGAAATAATGTTTGTAATAAAAAAATATTCATGAGGGACAACACAAGTGCTAAAACATTTAGGCATGTCTCTTCTTCCAGAAGGCAAGAGTTAGTGCCACTGAAGAGTGATGTGAATACCTAAGGGTTCCTGCAATATCCAAGTCATTTGGTTTACATCTACACACTAAGAATCAAAAATTTCAAGCAGTGTACATGCAGGACACTTCCCAGAAAGATGCTAATTTGGGCACTTTCCATCTCAGTCATATTGGAGAACAAGCACTGCAACGTCTCAACAAAGAAAGATCCACTTTAGATTTAGGAGGGGAGTAAAATGAAAACTCACTGTTACCCAATGCTGCAAATAACTATTCCTACATTAAAGTATATGCACTACATTTCAACATATCTTAAATTTATCAAGTCTGTCAAGTCTCCATCTATGAAAATTACTACTGAGTCATTAAAAACAGTAGTGGCATACTTTACATACAAACAGCCTATATTAATTGTACAGTGTGTCACAGTATAACATAAAATAGTACAAATTGTCATTATACATAATAAAGACTTACTTTTCAGTACCCTGTACGAAGTCAAGCAAGGCAAAAAAGATGTTTCACACACTTTGTGGTTTCGTTTGTTTTTCAGGAAAAATGAATAAAACCCCATGAAACTCACAGATAGACAATGAAATGTAGAAGTTTCCATATGAAAAATAAATTTTTTCATGCATACACTGTACCTTAAGTTGTGAGGTGGTTTCATGATGTTCAGTAATCTTATCACAAGTACTTCACTTCTTAAACTGCTAAGACAGATGGGACTTGATTCCATTTATAGATACAGTGATTAAATGCACTTGTTAAAAAATGGAGACCTTTATCCAAGAGAAAATACAGGAGACATTATGGTGAAGAACACATGATTTAGCTGCAGTAGCAAAAGGGATGGGGTGCCCTCCTCCTTGCCAGCAACAGGAGATCTCTAACAGCTTGTCAAAGAAACTGCAGTACTCGGTACAAAGTCTAATACAGTAAACATAAAATACAGAGTTCAGAGATCTTTAGTGTTTGTGCATAACTTGCCACTCACTTCTCTCCCTGCAGACAGTGGGAATAAGAATACACTTCAGTTTTCATACTCATTGACTTAGAAACAAAGTCAGTCAAGCTTCCTACATGAATTCACATAGTGAAAAGTCCTTCCTTCAAAAATATACAGGATCACTCAACCAATTTTCATTCTCATACACCATTTATAAAACTA